CTATTAGTAGGTTTAGAGGCTTTTTATTATATTTTCTCTCAAATTATTTATATTTTCATTTTCCTTTTATGAATACGATCACTGAGGCAGAAAACATCGGAGGAGTTGAAGAGAAAAATGGAAGAATATGTGAGAGAATACGGTGGATCTCGCCGGAGAAGGTGGAGCGAATGGTTAAAAGAGGAGAGCGGAACATCATAATGACATTTTTTTAACAACCTCAATTTACTGTAAGTCTATAAGTTATATTTGTAGTGTTTCTTATTTTTTAGCTAGCTACATTTCCTGTTTTAGTGTCCCAATTTCCTGCTTTTCCTTTCTCATTTTGTTCTGTGCACCCATTGATGATTTTGTGAGTATGGACTTGTATCAACTATTAGAAGTCCTTATTGTTATGAGATATGGTTAAAGTGTAATAGAAATAGGGAAAGTAATTTAGGCAGGCCTTACTTGTTTCTGTTCATGTGTTGTTTGTGTATTAGTTAATTGTCATGGTAGCTGCTGCATTTTGAATTTTACATGCCATTTAGCATATGAGGTTAGCATTTTCCTTTTAGTCTTCTGAAATCTTATCTGAATGTTTTATTGATTTCATTACAGCTTCACCTTTTACATGTTTGAAGGATCACCCTGGAAAGAGGGGAAAACTCACCTTGTTGCTGAGTGGTACATCGGCTGCAACAACCAATTCTCTTGATCATATATTTTGCTTTTACACACTCAGGCGCTTGTAGTGGTGCAACTGTGGAAGGTTTGTTTTGTCCCAGTCATTTTGATTGTCTTTAGAAGCTGGAGCCCTCTCCTTGAACAATGGATTTCACTCACTCTTCCAATGAATAATGGAAACTTTCTGAAGTTTTTCTGGTATTTGATTTCATCAGATGCTTTTAATGTTGGGATGTTGGGCAGTCAAGTCAATGTTACTTGTTACTATTGTGCAGTCACCATTGAAGATGATGCAGTGATCTCAGCTTTCAAGTCTGTAAGTTTGTTGGGTTTTGCAATATAATGTGCAGCTATTTAATGTTAGATTGTGACAAGATTGAATGATTTTGTAGATCTGCCCATTCTCATTTTCTATTATATTGGTATCTGATTGACTAAATTTAATCTCATCTGTTAGACTTTTAGAAGATAGAAGGAGGTCCTTGGTGGAAACCATTTTGTCAAAAGTCAAAAGAAAAACCTCAATGATAGACTTATTATGAGAATTCTGTGATGGTGACAATGAGAGACATAGCGGTGGAGCTTGTAATAATAACAGTTTTCACAATCGTTGGTCTCTTAAGCAGTAGATAACTCAGTTCACTTGTAGTACTTAGCTTCTCTTGCAACAGTCTCACAGGTCAAATTCCATCTTCTGAGAAATGGGCAGAACTTGAATCAGTAGATCTCTCGTCAAACAAGCTTGATGGTAGGATTCCTGAGCAGTTGACAAGTCTGGTATTCGTTTCAGTTTTGAACTTTTCATACAACGAACTTGTGATTCACATTCCTCAAGGGAAGCAACTCCATACTTTTTCTAAAGATTGCTACATTGGAAACTTAGATTGTGTGGAATCCCATTGACAAAGAAATGCCAAGTCACGAAGAACTAGAATCACCTCCTTCAAATTTGATGAAGAAGATGACGACTCTGCAGCATTATTTGATTGGAAATTTGCATTGATGGGTTATGGTTGTGGGCTGCTGTTGGGACTTAGTCTTGGATACATTGTGTTCACAACAGGAAAACCATTCTGGCCAGTGTAGAGGGTAGAGGTATATCAACAGAAATTTGTGGGATGGTACAGCCATAAAAATGAAAAGAGAGAAAACCAGCAACCTGGCTGATGCTCTTAGGTGAGTTTCTGCAGCTTAACTATGCTATTTATGGTCATTTTTAACCATGACAATGTATATAAATAATTAAAATTTTCCACT